AAAGAGCCCACCAAGGCCAGGCTCCGAGCTAGTGCTGGTCCAGGCTGCCGTGCCTGACTTCATGCCTTTAAGTGGAAATTAAATTAATTTCAACCCCCCCGCCATGGGGGCTTGGAACTTGATGATCTTTAAGGTCCTTCCAACCCAAACCATTCTATGATTCTATGAAACTTTTAGTGCATCGCTCACCTGAGCTTTCTTAGTGGTTTGAACCTGAAGACAGTGAGCTCGGAGCAGGGGCAGGGCAGGCTTGCATCGCCCCGAGCGCCGTGTCCGTGGGCCACGAGGGCTGGGCTCCCGTCCCAGCTCTGCCACCAACCCATTGGGTGCTTGGGAGAGGACGGCGATGCGTCAGATACCTCCTCGGGCTGCTCTTGGACGTGTAATGACAGGTCTTAGGTGTGCTGAGAGATCTCCTAACTGAGCAAGAACCCGCAGGGTATGTGTCAGCAAGGAGAACATCCTTCCTGAAATCACCCCACCAGCATTTCCCTCTCTAGATTTCAGTGTTAGTGGGAAGAACATGAATTGGGATCGGGAGAAAAGCTGCATTTGCTCCCCACGTCCCAGCACACGGCTCCCAGCTGCTCCACCCGAGCTCTATTCCACGTCACTAACATGAACATACAAGTTCCTGTAAGGCTTTGCAGTAAAATCCTTATTTTATGTCTTTCTACTCAAAGAAAGTAACCATGATCTGTGCTGCTGGTGCAGACAGTGAGATACATTCATTTGTAAGTACTACGGGTGGATCTGTTTGGTGCTTCTTAGCAAAAATACGGACTGGCATCCCTCCCCAACAGCCCTCAAGTCAGGACATTTGAGCACGCTGACATCGGCAATGGTCTGAACACCCCAGTGTAAGGAAGAAAATGGGGCAGATAGAGAGAAGACTGTTTCTAGGACAGAAAAAAAAAAAAATTCCTCCCTGTGAGTAGATCTCTGATTTCTCTTGGCATGTTGAAGCAGCAAGGCAAGGAACGGCCGAGGTCCTTACCCCGTGTGCTGCTTACAAAACTGCCCCAGCTGGGAACCCAAACGTCACCGACTGCAGGTAGAGGCGGTGCAGTGTATTCACGGGGATGACGGACACTTCTTTTAGACCAACAGATCAGAAAGAATGGAGGATTTTTTTTTCTCTTTTTTTTTTTTTTTTTTTTTTTTGTGTTAATCTGAAAGGACTCTGGCTTCTCTCTGAACTGGACCTCCAAATGTCTTACCACCAAAACAAAAAACAAAAACAATTGTTGTGGGTGGAAATATGACAAAAAATAGTTTTCCTATAAGATAATTTGATAAACCTCATCGTCCTCTAGAAAGGCAACATCGTCCACTAGTGCTACTTAGCACCCAGAGTGCTCTTCGACCGCAGCAGATACCGATCGACTCGGACTTTCCGCCTATCCACTGTCCTATTCTCGCTGTCAAAAATCCGCTGCAGATGCAAGGCCAGCCTCCTGTCCTCCTCCTCTTGCTGGAGCTTCTGCTCCATCTCCCGTACCAAGCGATCCTCAGGAGGCAAGCCCACCTCCCCTGCCGCGTGTCTCAGTCTTTTAACGGAACCATTGTGCTCCAAGTGCTTCATTTTACAGCGTCTCTTCCGGCCCCGTCTGAGCGACGGGGGCTGTTCCGCGATAATGTTCTCCACGGAATTGCAGGTGCTGTTCTGCACGTTGATCAATTCGCTGTTGTTCAGATATTTCAGCTGTTTTTTTCCCGATGGCTTGATGGGACCTCCTAGCATGGTGTTATCGGGCAGCGACGCATTGACACCCATGAGTCTTCTGCTCAGCATTTTTGGGCCAAGACTAAGACAGGATTTGTCCATGAACGTGTTCACTTTTAGGTCAGGGACTTCAGACACTCGTGTGTTTAGGGAGGTGACATTTGATTTCGCACCTGGTTCGGCAGCGCTGTCGTCTGTTGTTAAGGCCTGTGAATCTTTGTTCTTCTCGCTCCCTCTTCCCAGCTTCGTTTCACTGATGGAAGGAAAGAAATCCAGCTCGGGGCGAGGGTCTCCTGTTGGGTCAGGTGGGAGGTGATCGTCCTGCATTTGCGGCTGCTCTTTAGTGCAAGTGCTGGAGTTGGTGATGTCGGGAACTAAAACATCTTCCCCGGGCTCCGAAGCCAAGGACGTCAGCGTCGCTTTAGAGAGAGTCTTTTTCATCTGCCGCTCCTGAAATATCTGCTCCCATTTTTTCAGTATTCTAGGACTGGCCTCGTAGGTGGTTGGCTTCTGCAAGCTGCGGTTCAGGTTTCTCGGGGTGGATTTGATAATGAGAGGGCTCAGGACTCTGCCGTCAGGAAGCCTTTTTGGAGGAGTACACGGGGAGCAGACAATCGGCTATCTTCCGAGATGCTGTCGTTGCTCTCGGGGCTGATGGATCGCTCTGGCTTGTGCAGGACCGAGAGGGACGAAACGGGGTTGAGAACCAGACGTTTCTCTGCCGTCAAGTCTGGGGCCGAGAGGCAACGGTTGTTTTGGGTAGACGACAAAACTCCAACCAGCGGCGTTGACGTGCTGGTGACAGGTGGCACCTGCAAGACAAGGGACCACAGCTCAAAAAGATTGTCATGGAGAAGAATACGGACAAGAATGCAGGAGGAGAAGAGGAAAACGTGTTCTTCAAGGGAAATGTCCTCCAAAGGATTTATTGCTCCTTACCAAGGTGTAGGAGAAAAAGAAGTACTTGGCATGGGTTTATCATGCTGTGCTGTAGAACGTCATTAGAAAAGATGTTTACGTGGAATAATCTTGATAAGCGGTCCCAGACCACACTGCTGCCACCACATGGCCTCCAGCAGAGCTTAAGAGCAACTTCTCGTCATCTCCAAGCCCATCCATATGACAGAATCCAACCACAAATGAATCAGAAATAAAAGCCACACATACACGACTACAAATGTTATTATTCTTCTCCAAGATGAAATTATTTTGTCCAGCAGCTAGTCTGAGACAGTGACAGCCTTTCTCTGCTTAGCCTGAAAAAGAGTTGTTTCTACTGGATTATTTTGGGGTCAAAGCACATTTGTGGAACACCCTGGTAGTGCAAGTCTTAACTGGCCAGGTCTATAAACCATTTACTTAAAAAAAAAAAAAAAAAGTCCTGAGGAGGCAGGTCAGTTATAGACTCTTCCTTTGAGCTCAGTCCAGCTCCTGTCAGCTTAGATGGGAACGGGACCAGGTTTTTAAATACAGATTCTCTGACCATGGTCCAAGCCCATAACCTCAGAGATGTCAAGCTAAGTGATCGCTGGGGTCAACTTTGGGGATTCTACCATTTTCCAAGCAATATGGACCAACCAAACTGACCTTCCAAAGGATTGCTGGTGCATGAGAAGCTGAAGATGAGCCGGCAATGTGCGCTGGCAGCCCAGCAACCCCCCGTGTCCTGGGGGCATCCCCAGCAGCCGGAGCAGCAGGGGGAGGGAGGGGATTGTCC